AGTCATTCCGTGCATCTGCCAGTTCTCTCAGGGGTTCCATCAACAGCGAGAGAAGGAGCCACAGGAGGCACCGCCATCCTGCCCAGGTGGTCCCTGGGGTCAGGTGGCTCCCTGGTCAGGTGGTCCTAGGTCCCGGCAAACCTCGGCTCATGCTACCCTTGCCCTGCAGCAGGGGCTGGGGGCCTGCTCTGCCCGCAGGTCCAGTCCTGCGTTCTCCCTGGCAACGCCCTTCGCACCGCTCCCTGTTCTCAGGCATTTTAACCTCCTGCCGCCACCAAGAAAGACACCTACCCACTGTGCCATCAGCCCAACTACATCAATGCGAGCCAGCTTCCCAGCTGAAGACGAGACCCACTGCAGGGGACTGCCAGACTGCTGTGCTAGGGAGTTTCACCCTCAGTGTTCACAGCCCCAGGTGGCCAGCGCGGTTAAGACAGCAACTTCAACAAGGCCGTTTTATAACAGCAATCCCTGTCACGAGAGAGGGGACACGCGGGGCCGCTCGAACGTCAGCGTTCTCACCAGATCCGTCTTCCAGGTGCCCCTCCTCGTCGTCGCCATCACTGTGCTCAGTGCACGTGTCGTCCTCAGAGCCCCCACTGTGGGCATCACTGCTGTCTTCTAGATGGACAGGTAAACACAGGCCCGGGGGGCAGCGTCATGGCTGAGGCAGGTTGGAAGATGCACAGAGGTGTTCAGAGGACACCTGCCCACAGGGCGCCCAGCGCTGCCCCCAGGGATGGGGGGGTGGGGCCGCATGGGGACGTGGGGAGGGAAAAGCAGCATCTTTTGCTCAATTTACATCTGTATTGATTGCATTAAAAATAAACACCAAACAATGTGCCGCTTGTGCACTTGAAAAGCAAAGCATGAACACTTGCTCCCCAGCTCCGTGTGGAGCGGCGGGAGGGCGGCTCACCAGCATCGCTGGTCAGGGCGGCAGGACGGAGTCTCGGGTGGCCATCGGGCCCCGGGCTTCGGTCCACAAGCTCGTCCAGGCTGTCGTCATCCATTGCTGGACATTGGAGTTCAGCTCTGAAAGAAACCAGGGTCAAGTAATTTCCCGCTGTCCCAAACGTTACGTAAAGCTCCCTGCCGAGAGCAATAGTCACTCTCTACACGTCACGTCCTGGTGACACGTGTCCACCCGTAGCACAGGAGATATAATACGCTCAAAACTGTGCATACACACAAAAGAGACTGGCTCCTATCTAAAGAGCCACGTTCAAAGTCAGATCCCAATTTATAACGAACCTAACTGAGCCTCGGACTGGCCACCTTCTTGTTCAGTCAGGCACCTACCACACCTCAACACTCCCCAGGTACCACGAGGCCAGGCTTGAAGGAAATGGCTTATCACAAGCTGAGGCAAAGCAGCGCTTTCAATGGGGGATGGTCACCAGAAGGCCCCGGTGCCAAGCAGGGCCCTCTCCCTGCACTCCCCTGGCACCTCCCTCTCAGCCCTGGCTGGCCAGCCCAGGCTCCACGCACCTGACTATAGCTGGGAGGCCAAGGTACCAGCTGACGTTCCTCTGACCTCGCCCCAGTGCATCCACAGGGCACCGCCAAGTCACCTGACTGCCCGGGGGCAGCACGGGGCCACAAGGAGCAGAGGTCAGGTTCTGCCTCTTGGCTGCCAAGTCCACCTGCTCTTGGGCTCCTGATCTCCAAGTGGGGATGCCTGTCGTGCCTACTCTGCAAGGCCACTGCCAGGATAACACAGAAGATCTAGACCAATGACCTCACAGACATAGTGGGACACAATTACCCTCCCACACCAGGGCCTCTGACTTTGGTCTCCAAATAAGGGCTCCTTTCCCATCAGTGCTACTCACTTCCCAAGTGACCCCGAGAGGAAACACCTCAATGACACACAGTGAGGAAACACTGCCCCCATCCAGGTGGCACAGTGTGCTTCCAACCAAGTCCAGTCTACATGGTCAAAGGAAAGGGGTCACAGGAAAGACCGGAAGGCAGAGGCACAAAGCAAGAACCAGGCGCAGGGGGTTAGGCTGACAGCAGCGTGCCCAGAAGCCAGGAAAGGCTCTCATTCCTGGATCCTACATGCAGGCTTCTCTCCCGTGGGCTGTGGGCCACACACTGTGTATGACACATGCATCACAGAAACAAGGGAACGGGCTGTCACTACCACCATTGTACAGATGCTCCCAAAGAATGATCCCCTGATGGGGCTGAGGCCAGGTTCAGACCCCAGAACGCCTCACTTCCCATACAAAGCCCGATTCTGGGACGCTGCTTTCTAAAATAGTGAGGGCATGTTAATGTCATGAAACTGCCACATGATGCTTCTACTGCAAGCAGGCAACTGAAATTTTTAACCCCTGAAAGCCACCACCTTTCTTCTACCTAACATGCCAAGGTTAAGAAAATCGGCAACAGTCCTACTCAACTTAAGGGTCTGCACCCCACTTCTTGGTGAGTCAGCAACACAGCAGGGACCTTCCCTGTCCTGTACCCACGTCCTGACCATGTCTTCTGCTGGAGACGCACAGACCATGGTGCCACTGTCCGTCCACCTTTCCCCTGAGCATGATGGCTGCAGCCCATTGCAGGTAAGAAGACCTATTATCCTCTGGCTATAGCTGTCATTCTGGGACACCTGCTCTCATACTTACCCTGCCCCTACTGTGTGCAGCACGGGTCCTGCCCTGGAGAAGCACAGCCTATGAAGGAGGTAAATACTCACACCCAGGAACCTACCGAGGAAAAAAATCAGAAAATGTAACCCCCCAAAGAGACGACAGAGCACAGCCAGGGACAGTTCACACGCAAAAGGTCAAAAGCACAAACAAATAACCCCTGGCCTCTCCCTTGGTGACTGAGACCTAGGCCTGCCTGCCAGGGGCAGTGGCAGGGCCTGGCTCAGAGAGCTGTAGGAGGTCAGTGCGGCCACGATGGGGTCTGGCTTGCCTGAGACAACAACTCCGGAATCAGGATGACTGACTCCCCGTGTCCCTGCACCTGTGGGGATCAGTCCCGAGAGCCCTGTGCTTCTCCATCACAGCTGCGAGGAGAACCTCCAGGCCTCCCGACAGCCCTCCCTTCCTACATCATCGTACACAGTAACTTCTGGCAGCGCCCAGGGAAAAGAGCCGGCTAGCCTCTGAAGGTGCTTTCCAGGGCAAGCGCTGTGCGACCACGAAGGAAGAGACCACCGTTAGCAAGCCCCGGCCCCCCCCTTCCTCTGTAAGGAACCCTGCACTCAGAACACTGTGCGAGTGGGACCCTGGCTTAGCACCTACTGGCCCCACCAGCAGCCCCAGCTCAGACACGCCTGCTCAGATCCACCATCCCCACCTCTGCTCATATGTCCCAGACCAATGGCCAGGAAGCCCTTTCTGCGGGAAAGCCCACAGCCCCCCGGCTGCTGGCCGCCTTCGGCAGCGCCCGCAGCACTGTGGTGCTCCTGCCGAGCCTTCAGATTTAAGGGAAGCTGGGGAAAAATTTAAACCAGAAAGAGTATTTCCCTCTCTTTTCAAATTCAGGGACTCAAAGCACCTGCAATCCCAACCATCACTAAGGAACCAAAAGACCTTCCGGTATGGTCACCGGCAGCTATGCCAGGACCAGAACCTGACTGCCCATCACCAGGCCCTGAGCAAGCCTGCCCGGTCCAACGTCTCATACGGGGCCAACTCTCAACTTTCATTCATCGTCTGCCACAGAGGATACAAGACCTCGAAACTGTAAACTGCAACGGAAGTCAAAAAGCTAGGGCCCAGCAAGGTCTCGGCAGGGTTGAGACAGACACCAAGAGTCCATGCTGGGAGGCTGCTGAGAGAACCAAAGCCAGGCTGGCCCTGTCACGGCCTTGCCACCAGCCTAGCGCAAAAAAAGGAACCAGCTGTTGTCATTCTGACACAACATTCTTCTCCTAAGAAAAAATACTGAGTGGTCCAGGGAGAGGGAAGGTGTGCTATGTCCCAAGGCAAACCTCACTTCAGCCTCAGGTTCTGTCCAAGTGACCACTGGCCAAAATGTGGCTCACAGGCTGACTACCATCTTGCTGCTGCTGCAGAAACAAGATAAGTATATAAAAGCCAAAGTTGACAAGAATGTAAAACAATCCTTGTTATTAAAAAAAAAAACATGGGCCAGGAATCAGGGCTAGGGTTAACACAGTGCCCTGGCTCCGCACTCAGGAGCTGTGTGACGTTGGCAAGTTACTTAACCTCTCCGGGCTCCATTCTATGTATGTAAAACAGGAAGGCCAATACCTAGTCCCGAAAAACTGCTGTGAAGACTACGTGAGTTAAAGAACGGGAAACCATCCCGTCAACCAAACAGGCCTGTCGAAACACTGGCGAAGCCAATGAAAGCAAAGACGACCAGGAGCTGGAAACGAGTTAGCAAACGGTCACACTTCGCTCTAGGAAGGCGCCCCCCCGGAAACCCGCCTGCAAGCCCGGGGCCTCCCAGCCTCTGCGCGAGGCCTCCCGCGCCCGCAGGCGGTCACCGCCGCCCGCCAGCCCGGGGCCAGTGCGGCGCAGGCCTCGCACCGCTGGGCAGGCCGCAGACAAAGCGCGAGGCGCCCGGGGCGGCCCTCCGGCCGGGGCGCAACAGACACCCGGGAAGCTGCGGCCCAGCACGTACCCGGAACCTCGCGCCCCGCCGGCCGCTACCGGGCGCTCGCCGCCACTGCCGCAGCCGCCGCCCGAACGAGAACCACGACTAGGCCCGAACAACAACAACAACAACAACAACAAACAACAACGCCGCCGCCGCCGCCGCCGCCGCCGCCGCCGCCGCCGCCGCCGCCGCCGCCGCCGCCGCCGCCGCGCGCTCCTCGACCCGGAAGTGCATGGAGCCGGCTTCCGGGGTCCTTCCACCCCGCCCTTGGCGGGAACCACTGGGACCAGGGAGGGGAAGAAAGGCCTGAGGTGGAAGAGAGAGCCGCTCCCTGAGCTTGGGGATCTCGAGGCTTTGGAAACACTGTTTAATGCGTTATCACAGTCCAAAGAGGCAAGCTGCTTGGAAGAACTTGAGGTTTCTAAGTTCCTGCCTTTGGGCTGTTATGGGACTGCCCCTCCGTCGGGAAGCTGGCACAGTCCGACCCTCCGCCCGTCGCCCAGGGCGAATGGGAGCGGAAGCCTGGCACACCTAGGGTCCCGCCCCCAGCCAGGGTCCCGCCCCGTGCGATGGCCCCGCCCCCAACCCGGGTCCGGCTCCACGCGGCGCCCCCGCCCCGCCCTCCCGCCACCCCCCTCCCATCCCTCAGACGTCAAGCGTGAGCTGCGGAGAGCCGTGCCGGGACGGCCTGGTGGCGCTCCAGGGACGAGCAGCTTTGTGCTGTCCGTTCACTCCGACCAAACACTGATGGACCCTCTGCTCGGGCTCCGCCAGGCGCTGAGCACAGCGAGGACGATTCCCCAGTCCCGTGTCCCATCTTGTCCAGACACAATAAACAATGAACGTTGCGAATCACTGCGCCGCGTGGTGTGTGAGAAGCTGATTCGTGCTCTGATAAAAAGGGCAGAGTCCGGGGCTCCGGAGGCAGGAGGACTGGCCAGTGGTAGTTAGCGGGTGAGACGTGATGGCGGAGGGAGCAGCCGTGGGGAGAGCTCGGAGAAGCTGCCGGGACCACAGAAGGGAGGCCCGCGAAGTGGGCCCGGGCGGGGAGCGGCACGGGAGGGTCCTGAGCAGGGTGACAGGCGCTGGCTGATAGGATCCCCCGGGCGGCAGCGGGTGAACAGAATGGAGCAGCGGGGGCGGGCCCGGGGGACCAGTGGGGAGGCCTCTTTGGCCAACCCCCCTTCAGGGACCCCCGTGGTGCCGGCTGGGGTGGGGCAGCGCAGGTGCGGGAAGCGATCCGCTCCTGGTAGATTATGAAGACAGAAGCGAGGGGGGCGCGGTTGTTGAGGAGTTGGATGTGAGATGCCAGGTAAAAGGGGAAACCAGGAAGGGTTCCTGGAAGCCAGGGGAAGAAGGCGCATCCAGGAGGACGCCTGTGTGGAGCGAGGTGGGAGTCACCGGTGACCCGGAGGATAGCAGCGCTGGGGGGCGGGGCAGCTGGAGGCGGTTTAACGAGAAGGCGAGCTGAGTGACGGCCGGCGAGCACCAAGCGGGAAACAAAAGTGGAGGCAGCTGGGAAGAAGGCCACCGAGAGAAGGTTGTTTTGTTTTTTCTTTTTACGAGGGGAGAAATAACCCGCGTGCTTACAGGATCCGGAAAGGACTTTGCAGAAAGGAAGAATGGATGGTGCCAGAGAGGTGAGGGACTCTGGAGGGAATCTTCTCTGTGGGCGTGTGTGTGTGTGTGTGTGTGTGTGTGTGTGTGGCGCTGGCACAGCATAGTACCTCTTGGGTGTCACCCAGGCCAGGTACCCAAATCCGGACACTTTAGCTCTCAGCGTAAGTATGGATCTTGTGACCTCGGAAGAGTTTCTCAATCCCTCTGTGCCTCGTTGGCTATAAAATAGTGATGTGGAGGGCTGGATGGGTGGGGTCCAGCATGCTAAACACCCTGCACCAGACACCTTCCCCTCCCTCTCAGCTTGGTCTCAGACAGTGTCGGCCCTTCTGCACACACATGCCTACCTGCCAAAGACCACTAGATATGAGGACACCGCCCAGCAGAGGATCCCAAATCTGGGTGGGTGGGAGCACGCCACTAAAGCTCCTGGGAAGGAATTGGACAAGCAGCTTGGAGCCCCCTTGGAGCGGGATCAGCCCCTCCTACCCTCATCTGCAGCTGCTCTTGGGGCCTGCTGGAAGATTGTCATAATAAACACATGCAGGGCTTCCCTGGTGGCGCAGTGGTTAAGAATCCGCCCGCCAATGCAGGGGACACGGGTTCAAGCCCTGGTCTGGGAAGATCCCACATGCCGCGGAGCAACTAAGTCCATGAACCACAACTACTGAGCCCGCGTGCCACAACTACTGAAGCCTGCACGCCTAGAGGCCATGCTCCGCAACAAGAGAAGCCACCGCAATGAGAAGACCGCACACCGCAACGAAGAGTAACCCCCACTCGCCACAACTAGAGAAAGCACGCACGCAGCAACGAAGACCCAACGCAGCCAAAAACAAATAAATAAAAAAAGAGAGAGAGAGAAAAAAACCTGTACCTTGCAGCCCTCACTGGGCCCTGGTGCATGCTGGCACACCCTACTCCTGCTCCTCGCAGGCCCAGGCAGGCCCAGACACAGGATGCATGCTCCTCTCCTCGTGTGCACAGGAGGGTGGAGCTGGACAGGGAGCTCCCTTGGTTCTGTCCAGCCCAGGTCAGCCCCGTCCCCTGCCATCAGTCCTGCACAAACACACAGGGCCAGAGCCGGGGAAAGGAAACAGGCAGAGGGCTGTGATCCCTAACTTAGGAAGGCAGGTGTATCAGTGTCCTAGGGCAGCCACAACAAATGACCACAGACTGGGGGGCTTAAAACCACAAATTTCTTCTCTCACAGTCCAGGAGGCCAGAAGTCCAAAATCTAGGTTGACAGCTGTGCTTTCTCTGAAATCTGTAGAGGGAATCCTTTGTTTCCGCTTCTGGTTTTTGGTCCTTCAGTCTTCCGTGGCTTATGGCAGCATCACCCCAATCTCTGCCTCGGTCTTCGTATGGCCTTCCTCCCTGTGTGCCTGTACCTTTCTTAAAAGCACACTTGTCTTTGGATTTAGGACCCACTCAGATAATCCAGGATGACCTCATCAAGCTGCAAAGACCCTTTTTCCAAGTAAGGTAACATTCACAGGGTCTAGGCATTTGGATATAACATAACTTTTTGAGGTACCACCATTCAGTACACTTCAGAGGGTGATAAAGGGTGCATTTGGAACCAGCAGGACTGAGGGGGCACTGCTGGAGGTCGTTCCAGCAGGGCAAGGCAGGAACTGGGAGTCACCCTGATTTCTGGCCTGTCCCTGTCCCCGAATCCCAGACTTCTCCCCTCCAAACCTCTGCCTGTCTGCCCGCCCCAATCACGCCCAGTCCTGAAGGTGCAGGCCCTGCCCACAGGGGGCCACACCCAACACCCTGCACTTGAACTTCTATACTCAGGCTTCATGCTCCCAAGGTCCCAGGCAGGGTCAGATGTCTCCCTGGAGGCCCACACTCGGCCACCTGGGCAACACTTTTGAAGGAAGAAATGAAATGACCAAGATGGTGGGAAGGGTGCAGGAGGGGCCCACACTGGTTTTGTGGCAACTGGTGGGCTCCAGCCCAGGCTTATGTGGGCTCCAGGGAGGACAAGAGTGGGGTAGTGAGCTGGGGGGCAGGAGGGCTGCAGGAGAGCAGCCAGGGTGGCTGATGCTGGGGAGGTACTGTCCCTGGGCCAAGTCGGGGGCAGAGGGGCCCTTTGTAGCTGCCTGGAGCAGGGAGAATGGGGTCCTCCAGGGAGGGCCAGGCTCTGAGGCAGGTGCCAGAGACTCTGGTTGACTTGAGGGAGGTGGGCAAACGGGAGAGTTCTTGCTTACTTTGGAGGGGACACAAAGGTCTTAAGAGGACCTTAACCCTAACCCTAACTCTCCAGACTGGATGGTGGAGAACAGGAGGGGCTCGGGCACCTCTCTGCCTGATTAGGGGTCCGGATGACCCATGATTCTGCCTCAGGGAGGCTGCGAGGGGAGTGTGAAGAGAAGGGGCCAGGGCCACGACTCCCCTGGCTGCCACCTTGGGGCTACACCAGAAATGGATGACTCCAGGTCTGAAACGCTCCGTTCCCTCGGTTTCTACAATTTTCAATGCCCGGACAGGACAGGTCAGAGGACGGGGGCAAGCTGCCGAGGGCCCTGCGCTCCGTGCCGTGGCCCCTCCGGACAGGAGTGACCAGGAGTCCCCAGGGCCGGCCCGCGGGTGTCGCGGGTCAAACCAGGCAGAAGCGGAGCCCCCTCAACGCCAGCCAGACCACCCCGGAGTGGGTGCAGGAGGCGCAGCCAGTAGGTGGTCGCGAGGGCACGGGCCGGCTTACGTGTGCCGGAGCCCGGCCTTCCCGGGGAGGGGCCCGGCTCGCGCGGGCCGGGGGTGCTGAAGCGCCCGGGCTGTTCCACCGCCGGGGCCGGCGTGGGTAGCGCCTCGGGTCGTACCACCGGCACCGGCCGGCGGGGGAGCTGCCCCGGGCGCCAGGCGGCGACGCGGCGCCCGCTGGCCCCGCCCGGCAGGTGGCGGCCCCGCCCAGAGGCCGACGTGCGGAGAGGAACGCGCCGGCCGCGCCCGCGAGGCGCCGCGCGACGGTGGGCGTGGCGTCCCGTCCCCGGCTCTCACACAGTGGCTGCGGCGCGGCAGGGCGGGCCCGGCTCGGCCGGCCATTGGCTGCGGGACCTGTACATTTGCATACGGGCCGGGCGCGGAGCGCGGAGCCGGCGGGGGCGCGAGGGGGCCGCGGCCGCCGCCGAAGTTGGGCAGAAAGCCGGCGACGGCCCCGTGCCGGGGTCGCAGGTGACGCGCGAGGGGTCCCAGGCCGGCGGGCGGGAGCTCGGACCGGGCAAGGGCAGCGGGATCGGACAGCCAAGTTGGAGGGGAGGGAAGGGTCGGGGGCTCGGGACGACCCTTCCGCCCGCACGGCGGTCCCTCCAGGCGCAGGGCAGCCACTGCCCACCGCACACTGCGCTGCTCCGGACCCACTGTGCGTGTGACAGCGGCTGATCTGTCTCTGGGCTGCGCGACCGCCCCGTCCCCTCTGTGACCCTGCAGGGCAGGGGACGGCCACATCGGGTCAGAGGGCGCGCGCCAAGGCGGGTGGTGGGCAAAGGCGCCCCGTGGACTGGGTGTGCTTTTCTGCGACCAGCAGTGGGCTGAGGGAAAACGGGGGGCATTCAGGGAACTTCGCTGTCCTCCGCACGAGGAGGCTCAGGTTGGACCAGATGCCCTCTTGGAGGGAACTCTCTTTCCCTTGTGTGTCTCAGGGTGTCAGGATGTGCAGGGTTCCTGGGACGGCCTTCCCGATGTCGCCAAGCTTAAGGCAGTCCTGGGCAGGCACGGGTGCCGGGGTTCGAGCCTTGGACGTTGGAACAAGGACCTCCAGAACCAGCCTCTTGAGGGCTACCTCTGAGGACTTCCTTGAGGACAGTGGTGACAGATTTGACTTTTCTGTGCACTCTGCCACTTCAGCGAGGCCGCTAAGGGAGGCGGGGCTCTGAAGACCCTTTTGTGGCACCCCTGACACACCCTCCCAGGGGCGGGGGCTCCTGGAGGCCCGCTTTCCTGTTAGGGATTCTTGAGTTCACCAAGAATTTTCATCCAGTGAAAATCCTGTGGTTGTGGAGCCGGCCCAGAGCAGCCTCTGGGCCTGCAGACGCCAGGAGGCCAGCAGCAGGCTCTGTCCCCTCTCCCAGGTGGTGGGGGCTGATGGCTGGAGCAGCCTGGGGGGAGGTAGGCTTAGTCGGGGCCTTGTGTGGACTCGGACTCCCCTTTGGAGGGACCCTGTCCTAACTGATGGTCGATGTGGTGTGCTGAGTGTCACACCCAGCAGGCTTGGCAGGGCCAGGTTCTGCAGGTGGCAGGGAGGCTGTTGGTGGCTTTGGGGCTGAGAACCAGCAGAGCTGATTTGCTGCCACTGGGTGATGACTTACTCTGGGCAGCCGTCTGTGAACCCTGGTGTTCTCAGCCAGCCCTGGAGGGCCCTGCTGTGTGGGGCGGGGGGGCAAGCAGGAACTCTGAGGCCAGTCGGGGCACCAGTGCCTTCCCCCCAACCCAGTCTGGCCCTGCGGAGCGACAGTGAGGATAGCTGCCCGGTACTCACAGCAGGCAGGGTCCTGCCCTGCCATCCACTGGTTTGATGGGAGCTGGGCCTTTCCTCACCTCAGCACATTTCACATCATTGTTTTCAAAGTACAGTTTAAAACTCAAAAGTAAACTTTTCAGCAACTCAAGGATTTGCTTAGTGATCTGAAGCACTTCTGGCAACTTTCGGGGGGTGTGGAATTTTGTTCACCTGGAACAGCCTCAGAGGAAGGTTCTGCCTGAGGACCCTCTCTGAGCTGGAGAAGAGGGCTGTCAGCATCCTCAGAGGCAGCCTCAGGCCAGGGGCGGGTCCCTGCCAGTGACTTCAGAAGGAACGGGTGTTCCCTGAAAACAGACACGGAGACCAGGGGGCTTAAGTACGCCCAGTTCTGTGTCTGCCGCCCTTTGGGGAGTGGGGAAGCCCACGACACTGGGAAGGGCATGGGCTGGTCCTCCCCTTTCCCGTGTGTGTAGGGTGGTCCCTGGATAGCACCTGGCCTTGCCCTCTGCTGGCCTACGTGCTCAGCTTGGGAGATGACGCCATGCTAAGGCTCAGGGCTGGTGCCCAGCGGCCCATCCAATCCTCTGGAGCACAGGTGGGGGCTACAGGTGAAGGGAGCAGGCCCCTCGGACAGTCCCCAGTCCTCCCACCCAGGGCAAGGCCTTACTGGCCCGTGCACTCCAGGCTGCACCCTGTGTGGCCTGTGCTTGGCCCTATCTGGAGTCACAGGTCAGGCAGGCGTGTGGACAGGTGAGGGGATGGGCTGGGGGCTCCACAGAGGAAGCCAGGGCCAGATCCCTTTTGCCACCAGGCCCGTGCAGCCACTCCCATCCCTGCTGCAGCTCAGGCAGGAAGTACCGGCTCCTGGTTACTCCCATAAGCTGTGCGCTTGGTGGTTTCCTTGCTCCTTGCACTCAGGACTTCACGTCCCCTACTGTCGGCCCCAAAGGAAGTGGGGAATGCCAGGCCCGGCTCAGGGGCCACCCCAGAAGAAGGCTGAGTCCATCCCAAAGTTGCCCGCCCCCCAACTAAGCACGAAGACCCCTGTGATCTAGGCTGTCCCGTCCCCTGTTCCTCAATACACGTGGCTGCACCCAAGCCTCAGAGCCCCCCAGGTTCTGACCGGCAGAGCTCTCCCATCCCAGCCACAGCTCTCTGAGCTGGGAGCCTGTGGCCCAGCCCAGGACCAGGGCTGTGATTTGGACCTCGCCCTGCCCCAATTTCAAGGCTGCAGGCATGCAGCTGAGGCTTCATGCCCACCTGGGGAGTGGAGGTGGGCGGCACACCCTCCAGGGGCCAGCAAAGCTCCCTGGGCCTCGCAGACCCAGGAGTCCCCACAAGCTCTGAGACTCAGGAAACCTGATGGACGGGTCTGGCGTGTCCTTGAGTCCTCATATCCAGGAGCCACCCCAGAGCGGGCAGCGCTTTCTGCTGCTGGTGGGGAGCAGGCCAGAGAGGGAAGCCAGGTGGGGGAGGGGTCCAGACAGAAACCCAGGTCAGTGCTGAGGCTGCTTCAGGCGCCCAGCACCACTCCAACCCCAGGCTCAGGTTGCCAAGGAGAGAAACACCCCCCCCCCCCCCCCCCCCCCCGCACACCAACAGGGAAGGGCCACCCCCCCAGGGGGTGGGTGGACACAGCAGCCTGAAATGTGAGCCCCTGGGAGCTCCGGCTTTAGACCAACTGATGACTGGTCCCTGGGAAACCCCCATCTCAGGATCTTTGGCTGCTGCCAGCCCCAGGCAGCTCAGGGGACTACGCAGGGACCCCACAGACCCTGCCCATTGCAGCCTTGGGACACACTTAAGCCACGTGGGGCAGTTTATTGAGGTTTTAGTGTCGGGGTAGGAAGGCAGCACACACACGTGTGTGCGCGCACCTGCACACACACGGACGTGGGGAAGGATGCCTCCCACACGCAAGCGCATACCTACAGGCTGAACACAGGGTGGTCCGTGCACCTCCCTTCCCCAGCAAGGAGCTGTGGCCTTTGGGGCCTAGTGATTTCTGGGCTGGCCATGCCCCGTGCTTCTCCAGGGGTCTGCGCAGATTTGACAAGGACTAGAGCAAGAGTCCTCAGCTTTCCCCTGCCCACTGCAGCAGAAACCCTAGGGCTCCGAGGAGTCCCATCTCAGACCCAGGGTACCAGGGCTTCCCACTGCATGGTGGAAGGAGTCCTCTGTGACCCCGAGCTCGCCTTCTGTCATCCAGGCTGGGCTGGCCTTGGCTGCCCTTGCTCATGTCATCAGAGCCCAGGGCTGGGCTGGCACTGGACGTCCACTCTGGGGCGAGAGCTGCTACCTCCAGGAGTTCTGCCTCATGGGGGTGACTGTGGGGAAGACATGGACTGAGAGGGCTGCGGGGGCCACAGAAGGACCTAATCCCACCCAGAGTGGGGGAGACAGACATACTCTCTGGGCTCAGGCTGGACACCAGGGCTGGACTCGGGGGGGCTCCCAGCAGGGGCTCTTCTCTGGACGGAGGCAGAAGATCCTGTGGGAAGAGCGGGTCAGCATGGAGCTGGGCTGGGCCTCCCGCCAACCTGGCCACCCTCCAGAACCGCTCTGACCTGCGTGCCAGGGGGAGCCCCGTCCGGCCGTGGGGACGGGGACAGTGCAGCCCCCGTCTGCCGGATGAACTGCTGCAGGTTACACTGACGCAGCTCCCGGTTCAGCTCCTCCAGCTCCTGGGCCTGGGCCTAGGGCACACAGGACCCTCAGAGGCACACGGGACCCTCAGAGGCGCACGGCCGTGGAGCCGCACGGCCTCATGCTCTCCCTCGTCTGATCCTGAGACCAACACCCAAATCCACCCTGCGATGGAGGAACTGGCAGGGGTGCGGGGTCCAGCGGGCTCACCTGCAGGGCGTGCTCAGCAGCCTCCAGAGCCCTGCCCACCAGGGCAAGGCTGCCCTGCACCTCCACACTCTGCCGCTCCTGGGCGGCCAGGTCCTGGCGCAGGCGTTCTGCGACAGACGCTGTGGGTGAGGGGGGCCCAGGGGCCTCTGCGGCCATAAGTAACTCGGCCTCCAGGGCGCGGGTCTGGGCGTCCAGGGCCTGCAGCCGAGCGGCATGCTCAGCCGTGGCCGCGCTCAGCGCCTGCAGGCGGGCCTGCCCCTCGTGCTCCCGGGCCTGCTCCCGCCGCAGCTCCTGCTCCCAGAAGGCCTCCTGGCCCAGCTCCGCTGCGTTCCTGCGCACCCTTCGCTCCAAGCCCTGCAGGTCTGCGCAGCAGCCCGGCATTGGTGCTACGGGACCCACAGGCTCGGGGAGTACAGGGTCGGGGGCCAGCCCAGGGAACCCCGGGCTGAAGGTCAGCGCTTTGCAGGGCTCACGGTCCAGTGCTGGTCGAGGCTTCGGGGGAAGGCTAGCTCGGATTGGGCAGCGCTCAGGGGGAGGGCAGCTGTCTGAGGAGGGCCTCCCAGCGAGGCTGGGTCCTGTCCGCCTCAGGACAAACTGGACATCGCTGGCAAACTGTCCACAGGTCGCCTGCGCACCCACGGGACACTCCTGGGGTAGCAGCTGCCGTTCCTTCTCTCTGAGACGCTGCACAAGCACGAAGCGGCCTGTCTGGCCTGGAGTAGGGGGGAGGGGTCAGTCAGCCCACATCCCTTACCGTCTGTCCACCTGGCTTGTGCAGTTGGGGGCAGGCAAGAGGGATCAGCAGCAGCCCCACCCTCCTCGGGGCACCCCAGGTGCACCTGCTGGGCCCATCCGTGCTTCAGGGGACTCACCTATCGCTTGGGCCAGTGCGATGACCACTTCCTGACAGGTGGTCTGCTCTGAAACCCCACAGACCACACGCTGGATGCCATCCACCCACACCTTCAGCTCCATGGCCGCCAGCCCTGAGAGCATCCCTGTCCTGCAGGGAGGGTGAAGGCCACAGGGTCAGGCTCTGCCTGGCCCCAACACAGCCTGGCCCCGCTCTTCCTCCTTGAGGCCTGCCCCTCACCCCCTGAACTGGCTCAGGACTGCTGCCCCTCAGCATCTGCTGCCCAGCCCCACCTGCAGGCCACGCATTCCTGGGGGTGGGGTAGCAAAGACCAGTGCCCCCCAAAGGGGGAACCAGTGTGCCCTCCCGCAGCGCTCGGAGGCTTCCCCACTTCCCAGCCTGCTCTCGCCCCGCCCCACTCCCGGAACAAGGCAAATCATTAACCAGACCCAGCCACCTGGCTCGGAGGGTACAGCCCCTCCCGCGGGGCGTCCGCCCGCAGACCTCGGCCCTCCAGACCCACCGCACCCGGCACGGGCGGCCCCTCCCCACTCCCGCCCGTCCCCGCGATCGCCGCGAGGCCGCTGTCCCCGCCCGGGGCGGGTGCAGGTGCGGCGCGGCCCCCACGCCGGCCTGGCTTGCGCCCCTCCGTCGGAATCGCCGTCCGGGGCCGCTCCCTGCGCTCTGGAAGTTCCGGGACCCGGCGCAGCTCACCTGGACGCTCGCCTGCCTCCGGAATCCGGACGCGAACTGGCTGCTGCCAGGCGCCGGGCGCCGCCGCAACCTGCCGCCTACAGCGCCGCGGGAGCGCCCCGGCCCGCCACCCCATTGGCCCACGGCCGGAGAGCCCCGCCCCACACACTTCCATTGGCTCCGCGGCGCGCACTGCCCGCCCCATGCCGACGCCCATTAGCCACCTACTCTGAGCCTCGCCCCTGGCCCTCCCCATTGGCTCCCCGCCCGTCCCGCCCCCGGCGGCGCCCAGGTGTGGGCGGGGCTCCGGGGAGCAGCGGGGCGGACAGAGCCCGGGTCCACGCACGCCCCAAGCCCGAAAGCAACACGGAAGCGCGTCCCAGACCGCGGTCGCAGGCGGCGCGTGGGGCAGGTGCCTGGCCGCGCTCCACGATTGACTTCCGCAGAAGCCGCCCAGTCTGAGGAGCCTCCCGCCTAGGGAGGGGGCGCCGGCCTGGGACCCCACGAGCCCGGCCTGCGCCTAGCGGAGCCGCGGAGCCAGAACCGCCCCTCCCCCGGCCTGATGGGCCCGCGTCGGAACGCACAGGGGTCGGGGGCTCTTAGCGGGAGGCAGTGGAGCTGGTTGCCCGCTGCACCTCTCTGGCTGCTGCCGGGCTGACAATCCTGGTGGGTGAGGGGGCCGCCCAGAGGTTGCCTGGGACAAAGGCCCTGGACTCTTTGAGGTTCCTTCCCCCCACCCTTTCCTGCCCTCAGTGGGGCCCAATGCCTGCCCAAGCTGTGGACACGCTCCTGCACCAGGCCAGTCCTGCTCTCCTGCCAGGAGACTCCAAGCCAGCGCAGCAGCCAGGGCCCCTCGTAGCCTCAATGCTATCTGTGTGGCCCAGCGGCAAGGGCATCCAGAGGCTGTACTCGCCCAATCAGACGGCCACGGGCGGGGGTGCGGGGTGGGGTGGGGGGTGGTGTCCTCCCTCCCACCACAAGCCCTACCAAGAGCAAAAGCTGAAAGTCTGAATGAATGAATGGTGAAGGAATGAAGGTGGGGTGGGGGTGGGGCAAATACTGGAGGGCGTGAGTCTAATGGGTCGGGTCTGGGGCCTCACTTTTGTCCAGAGGTGCGGGTGAGGGGACCATTGTCATCGTTATATAAGTGTCCCCAGGCCTCCCTGCAGTTGCTCAGTGGTGGAGGTGGATGGGGGAAGGGGAAGGGGAGGCTTCTCTCTCGGTCAGGTAAATGGGCACCAGCCGCTATGGGCACAGAGGCCGTAGGAGGAACTCAGGAGGGGTTCCACTGCTGGTTAGAGCTCAGCAAGCCCCTCCGCCAGGTTCTCCGAGCTCTCACCTGCCTCTCCCTCCTCCCCGGTCAGCTCAGGCCCCAGTGAGGGCCACATTCTCACGAAGGCCGTCCTGCTGGCCTGTGGACACACTCACAGGGCAGCAATGCCACCAATACCCACTGATCACCATGGTCAGGCTGGGGAGGGACGGTGGGAACCTGCCCCAGGGTCGGTTGGAGGTGTTGGGCTGCGCTGGGGACCATGGCAGACCCTACTGGTCACTCTGTGTCCTCTGGGCCTGCGGAGGTTAGCTGGGCTGTAGCTCAGCCTCTCACAGCTTCTCCTTCAGGCTGGACAAGGAGGGGGCCCAGGGTCCACTCAGGGCCCTGGTCTGGGGTCTCCCTGGAGACTCCTGGTAACAAACGGCCCCTCCCCTTCTGGGTGCTGGTATCCATGGCAACACTGTAGAGCCTTTCTCTCCCCAGGCCTGCTTGGATTTCAGGCCTCAGGTGAGTGTTGGCGGGAGGGCCCTGGGTCTGAGGGGGACAGGGACATCACCGGCAAAGGACTAGCACCTTTGGGGACACTTGCACTAGGCTGGGGGGCAGGATTACAGCTCCTGGAGGGCAAGGGTGACAGGGGGGAGATGACAAGGAATGTGTGAACACCCAAGTGACATGGTGCCAGGGGTGGGGGTGACCTGCTGCCCTGGCCTGGTGAGAAACACGCAGGTGTGGACACCCACGTGACTGGCAGTGTGCTGTCCTGTGGGGCAGACACACACACACACACACACACACACACCCCTTCTTGGAGAGTGACGCCCTGTGAGCCAGCGGTACCATCTTGGGGCTGCCATACACACGCACGTGCGCCGGCCATGTAAGGAGAGCCCTGCAGGGGTGCCCACACACGGGACCCAGGGCAGCCCTACCATCCTTCCTCTGAGCTCCCTCAACATCAAGAATGGACCCTGAGTCTTGTCAGGAGGCTGAAGATGCCGAGGAAAAGGCTTTCCCATCCCTGGTGGACCGAGAACTGGTCAGCGGCCACGTGGGGCCCCCAGCCAGCGCCTCTCCTGACCGTGGGGCTCCCGCATGCCCTCAGGACACCAAGCCCAGCTCCACCAGGATGGTCTCCTCTGTCAACCCGCAGTAAGGAGGGGAGGGGGGAGGTCAGCCGCTTGGGCCAGGCCAGCCAGAGAGCAGGGCCTGATCAAGTGGAAGGAGCGCTGGCCTTTCAGGTCTGCCCCGGAGTCTCTGGACCCCCGCACTCTGCGGCTGCTGTGGAGGCAGCGAGAACTGGAGATCCAGGCCCTGCGGTGGGCGATCGAGAACCACCGGGAGGCCCGACACTGCCGTATCCTGCAGGAAGTGGCTGGGCTTCCAGCTGAGAGGTCAGCAGCATATACTGCTGGTCCCCCGCCTGCCCAGTCCCCGTGCTGACCCTAACTCCGAGTTCATGTCTGACTCCAAAGTCCACTGCCAAGATCGCAGCCCTGACCCTGGCCCTGATCTTCGCCTCTAGCCCCTGTCCTTACCTGGTCCTGATCCCCCACCCCAGCCCTGAAGAAGTTAATATACTGTAAAGCCACCCAGACCCTAATCCCGAACATGTCTGTGGGTGCTGAACCCAACCTGGACGCCACCTCTAGCCCAGACCTCTTCAGGGCCTGACCTGGCCTGGCCCAGTTGCACTCTGTGCCCTCAGGCCCCTAATGACAGTGAAGAGGAGCCCCTCCTTCTCTCCTTGGCTGCCGACCCAGAGGTGGGGGCTGCTGAGATTGCCCTTTCCCCCAGGAGCTCGTGCAGCCGGAAGCTCTTGCAAAACCAGGTCCAAAAGCTGACTCTGGAGTTGGAAGAGCAGAAGGGACAGGCCCAGCTGGTGAGGGGCAGGTGGGATCAGGGAGTGGGGTGCGGACGAGGGGCGGAGGGGGCAGGCAGGGGTTGGCCTTGGCCGGCAGGGTCTGCAGAAGGCCCCGCCCTCCCCGAACAGGAGAAGGCACACCTGGAGAAGCGGCTGCTGCAGACCAGAAACACGCTGCAGCAGCTGGAGGCAGAGTTGCAGGCCTTGCAGAAGTCCTGCCTCCTGCAGCTGGCCCGCTCCTCCTGGGTGGGCCGCATGCTGCGGTCTTCCACGGGCAGTGTGGAGGTGAGTCTGGCCTCTGGGCACCCCCGCCCCCCAAGTCCGCCCTCCTCGGTCTTCCCTCCGACAGCTAGCATGTCCCCTTGAGACTGGCGCTTCCGCCGCGGGTCCCTGGGCTGCCTGGGAGGCCTGCCCCCCTCAGGCTGCCTCTGGAACCAGGACCGAGGCCTGGGGCAGGGAGGAGCTACAAGCCCTGTAGTCCCTGACACCTGGTACTTAGCAAGTGTGTGCCTCAGGCACTGGGGAGGTCAGAGGGGAGAGTGACCTTGGGCAGAGGGGAGTGCTTCCCCCCAGCCTGCTGCCCCTTGTGCAGGTGGTGACGGCAGAGACCCTGATGGACCCCAGTGACCTCTCTGAGAACGATCGGCCCCCCACTGCTGGGGAGGTAAGCGAGGCCCTCCAGGTGTGTTCTTGGCTCTGCAGTCCTGCGGGAGGGTCAGGTCATGTGCTTCTTGCTCCCTGGCCAGGGTTTCCGGCTGGAGAATGTGGACTGGAACAGCGTCGCCCACCGGTACCCCAACCTCTTCACCAACCTCGAGTCCAGCTCAGATCAACAGTAACTGCACTGGGTGGGGACTCCCTAGGGGGGAGGGGAGGGGAGGGCTTGCCTTGGTTGGTATGGACCAAACTCCAAGTTCCACCCCTTAGTGTCCCCTGGACAGGTCACTTAGAAGGGAAAGGGCTCTGGGGCCATCTCTGTCCAGCCATGAGCCCTTTGCCCAGGCTGGATACTAGGGACTGGGGCCACAACTTGGTGTGCCCTGCCCTCCTTATGGAGGCTGAATGGGGGCAGGGCTGGGGTCCACGAGCTGAAGCCACGGGCAGCGAGCTGATCTTGGCCTGCAGGCACCCCTGGGCCCCGCCGCTCCCGGAGCTCCCACCAGCCACACAGCCTGACCAGTGGAACTCAGAGCTGTACTGCCGGCAGAGTGAGCATCGTCTCAAGAGCGTCGAGTGGAGCTCCCTGCCCCTGGTGGGCACCAGCAGTTCCGGGGGTGCCGACTCTGAGTCCAGCAGCTGCCTGCTGGCTGCACGTTACCATGTGCAGAAAGTGACAGGGGACCCTCTCCAGGCGCCAGGCCACATTGCTGAGCAGAAGGGGGCACAGAGCCTCTGCGGGGACAGTCGAGCAACATGGGAAGGTGGAGTGGGCGGGGCTCCCCTGGTTTCTCCCCCTCCCACCCCCGCGGGACTGTGATCTCTGCCCAAAGTCCTAAAGGGTGTCCCCCACCCTCTGGGCTTTCACAGTAGCCCAGTTTGAGGCAGTTGGGGCCTTTCCAGCCACATCCCTAGGGGTTAAGGTGGTCTTGGAGGACGGCTGCCACCGCCTTTGCGCTCTGGCCTGAATCCACATCCCCCCACGCCCCAGCAAGTACTGCCAGGCGCTCCTCTGCTTCGCCCAGCCTCCTGGGTCCAGCCGTCTCCCCTTTCTGCGATCCGACCCTCACCTCATTGCTGCTCCTCTCCCACGTGGAGCCTCAGGGCGCAGTGGGCCAGGTCTGGCCTCACCGGAGATGTCCCCAGTGGACCCTCCATATTGGGGTTCCCCTCCTGGACAGGCCGCCTCTCCCTGGATCTCCGGAAAACCCACTCGGACAGGCAGGGCAAGAATGGCCAGGAGCCTGAGTCCCGTGCGGATCCCCACCCCCGGCATTACGGGCGCTGTCCAAGGTGAGGACGGGAGGCAGCTCCGAGCGCAAGGGCGGGAGCAGGTCTCCTAGCGGGACCACGGTGGGAGGGGCCCGAACGTCTCGGCACAGCTCCCCTGCCCGCGCTCCCGCCCCAGCCCCACGGGCTCCTGCCTGAAGATCATGGCGGTGAGCCACCGTCGGGGGTTCGTGCGCATCCTCAACCAGTCGCTGGAGGAGACGGCCGACCTGGGTGGCTTCGTGCTGCAGCAGCTGGTGCGCGACTTCCCCGTGTGCATGTACCGCTTCCCGCCCAGCACGCTGCTGGAGCCAAGGCAACACATCACGGTGCGCCCTGCTCCCCGCGCCCCTCGCGGCCCCGCCCCGGCCCCCCCGCCGCCGGCCCCTCACCCCTCACTGGCCGCCGACGCCGTCCCCAGGTGTGGGGCGAGGCGCCCAGCAGCACCAAGCGGCAGCCACCCTTCTCCTTGGGCCAGGAGCCCGTCCACTTCCACTCCAGCCGGGGCTGCGTGACCCTCCTCCTGAACCCCCAAGGCGAGGTCAGTGCGGGTCCCAGCGGGGGTGGTGGGAAGGGCGGGCTTTGCGGGGTGGAGGTGACCACCGTGTCCCCCACGGCCCCGCAGGTCCTCAGCGAGCATCAGGCCGCTCACTGCGTGACCCCCGTGTGCAGGATCTTCGCCGACAACACCGACTTGTCCATCGACCGTTTCCCGCTCTCAGAGGCCCGGCCCGGTGCCGACCTCGCGGAGCGGCAGCCCCTGCCTCGACCCCCGCGCAAGGGTCGGGTGCAGGAGGCCCGGGCCGGGCGCCGGAGGCCGGGGTGAGAACCTCGGGTCCCCCAGTCCGTACCTTCTCCCCAGGCCCAGATTCGACAAAGACCCCAGACCCCCTGCTAGGACTGTCCCCCACCTCCCCAGGGCCCGCCCTTGCCAGGACCACCCGCCAGCTATTCAGGACACCCCTCAGGTCCTCCACCTCCCCTGGCCCCGTCCCCTCCGGAACCACCCCTTCCCGCGGACAGGCTCTGTCTCTCACGAGCCCCCTCACCGCCCTTCCCCCCAGGACGCGGGTTCAGTTGCCCCGCCTGAGCACCAGAAAGCTCCTCCGCCAGCGAGAGGTGCCAGGGCGGCCCGAGGGCGCCGCCGAGACCCACCCAGAGCTCCTGCCCTCCAGCCCCATCCCCGTCCCCGGTGAGTGCGCAGCAGGGAGGGACGTGGAGGGAGGGGCGGACAGCGAGAAGGGGGCGGCCGGCCGACCCCACACCCTCATTGTCCCGCGCAGAGGCCGCGCTGGGCCTCGAGGACTGCCAGGCTAGGAAGGAACACAAGGTCCGGGTGAGTGCTGGCGCGGGCGTCCAGGCAGCCCCCGCCCCGCCCCGGCCCCGCCCTGCGGCCACTCAGGCTCCGCCCCCCCAGGTGGGCCGGAAGAGCGTGGACCGCGGCTGTCCGATGGTGGCGCTGTCGGTGCAGAGCACGGCCGAGAGCAGGTTCGGCTTCCGCTTCCTCAGCTGCCCGCCCATCACCGCGGACTCGCGCTGGCCGGTGTAGGGCTGGGCGGGGCGGCGGCAGCGGCGCCTGTGCTCCCGCGTCTCCACGACGGTGGCTGCGGGGCGGGGCGGGGAGAAAACGCCGGAGGCAGGCGGTGCCAGCTGCATAGTTTATTGAACCAACGCCGCCTACCAAGTAAACCGCATTTCTGTACACCTGGGAGTCGAAAATGATTCGCTTGGTTTCCGGGTATCCGGCCCCAAGAGGAGGGAGCTGGCCACCCCATCCCCGCGCGGGGAACCCCACAAGTCCACCAGGGATGGGAGGCGTGGTCGCACCCTGGTTGGCCTAGGGCAAAAGCCTCTGCTCGGGACCACGGCAACCCAAGGGTGGCTCAGAGCCCTGGGGCAGCTGGAGGGCTGGCCAGGGGATGGACGGGGCCCAGCTACAGCCACCTCGGCCTGGGCCCAGTCTGCTCTCTTCCAGGCCTGCTCCTCCAGGGAAGGCCAGGCCACACGGAAGAGGTGGGCAGCTGGGCCAGCGGTGGTGAGTTGGACCATCCTCTTCTGGGCTTTCCCTCTTCCCACCCTTGGTGGTCCCAACTCCTAACTTCCCTCTACCAAGAGGGTCCTCTCCTGTACCAGGCTCACTTCCCACCCCCCAACACACCCGCCCAGGTCCTCTGGCTTCTGTGAGGCCAGAGTTCACACGGGGGCTCCCACGATCGCCCTGGGGCCCTTGCCTACCGCCCGGGCCAGCCTGGCAGTGGGTAGTGGTGTACACTAGGGGTGGGGCTGGGCTGGGGCGATGAGGTTCAGGTGCGGCATGCACTGGAGGCTGGGGGTCTGGCTGCTGGATCTGGTGCTGGCTTTGGGCCTGGACAGCCTTCGGCTCGAGGGCTGGGGCCTGAGGCCACCTCTAGGGCTCTCAGAGCAGTCACTGCAGCCAGCCCCTGACCCAGGCCAGGCCCCAGACTACCCAGGGCTCTGAGGTGACGCCCCCGAAACTGCAGATCTGTGGACCCCCAGGAGCTGCTGCCCCTGTCAGATGGCATGAGGGACTTGGGAGGAGAGGGGGTCAGGTTGTAGCCCAGGGTCCTGGAAGGCTCTGGAAAAGAAGGAAAAAGATGGCATGTCAGACAAGGGCCCCCAAGGAGTCACTTGGGGCGGTCACCATGGGCAGGGCTGCAGTGTCCACTGTGGCTCCTCCCCTTAGCCCTTCACCCCCCCCCCAAGGCAGCACCCCACTGCCCCACTTCCTGTGCTCCCCAGGGAAGCTGTGGCCCCTCGGCCCTGTGACCTCTGACCTTTGCTTGAGCTGGACCCACCTCTGGGGAAGTCTGGGCTCTAGCTTTGGGTCACTGGGTCCTGTCCCCTAGGGCATGCTCACAGGCTGGTGGCCCTGGGGCAGTTCCCAAACCTCCCCTACAGAGCGAGGCCCTGGCACCTACCTGAGGGCAGGCTGGGTGGGTGTGTCCGTGGTCACCCAGAGCCCACCCGGCCCCGGACTGTAGTAGGAGGTCCTGGCACCCCTTTGTCCCTCACTGCCTGTCACCCCTCCAGCCACTCCTCCTGGCTGCCTGCCTGCTCCCCCTCCACCTTTCCACCCCTCCTGGCTGTCTCATGGCCCACCTTCCCCAGCCCCTCCCCGCAAGCCGCAGCCAGCACAGGAAGTGCAGGGCTTTGACCTGCCCTATCCCTGCTCCACCCTGGCTTCCTTGATGCGCACCTGCCCCCAGTGCCACGCCACCCCGGAGGGTCATTGGGCCAATCTTGCAGCCTACATTCTGTGGCCCCTGCTTACAACGCCCCCTCCCCGGGTTTGCCCACCCAGCTGTTCTGCCAGTCGGGTCAGACCCTTCCTCCAGGAAGCCTCCCTGGGGCCTGCTGGGTGAGGGGTCTCTCTGCCTTAAGGCCCTGCATTTGCTCCTTTCAGCCATGGTCACTCTGAAGCCAGTGTCCCTGAGGGAGGGCCTCGCCTGGCTTAATTCTGTGTCCCGAGCCCAGCACAGGCCCTATCTGCAGAGGAAGGGCAGTCCCCCTCCCGACCTTGGTCTCCTGCCCATCTGGTGGCCTTGCTCCCTTGGCTGGCCTTGTGCCGTGCTCCCCGCAGGACTTCTGGTGGGTCTGTCCTGCTTGCTGTCCCGGCCCCTCACTGCCCCCACCCCTGGGGACACTTGCTCTTTCATCCAGGACCCCTCTGGCCGCTGCTCACACTGCGCTTCTCTGGAGGGCCTTCTCTCTCTCTCTCATCCAGCCCTGGTGGCCACATGGTCCCATGGGCTCAGGGGAGGGGGACTTGGGGTTGGAACCCCTTGGTCGTGAGGCCCCACCCCCAAGAGAGGACCTCCCCGTCCAACCCATCTCAGAGCCGGGGTCTCGCGGTACCTGGGGCCAGGCTCAGGGGGCGGGGGCGAGTCGTGGGCCCAGCCTCGTCCTGCTCTTCCTCAGGGCCCCTCTGTGGGCCCCCAGGGGCGGCAGCCGCCTCCTCCCGGGACTCCAGGCACCTACTGGGGAGGGGACTGGGGTGCGGGGAAAGAGAGAGGCTGCAGCCCTGCGCCTCCTTTGGAGCCAGTCCCAGATGAGTGTGGCTCGGGCTGGTGCCCCAGCCTTGGGCTCCCGTGACCAGCCCCTCCAGCCACCAGGAGGACCAGCGAGCACTCAGCTAAGGCAGGTCTCAGCCAGAAGGGACACACAGGGTGGCGGGGCCAGGCTGGGGGGCAGGGAGAACCCACCGCAGGCGCAGCTCCCTCAAGGCCGGAAGGCTGGCCGAGGCCAGGAGGTGGCGGTTGTCTGCAGGGTCAGGCCCTGGCGCGGAGGCCCGGGCGGCCAGGTCTTCGGGCCCGGGAGGCGGCAGCCTCTCTGGGTGCGCCCCAGCCTGGGGAGGGACAGGCTGGTTCAGGGGCACGGCCTTCGGGGAGGTGCTGGGGCAGGCGCCGTCAGGCCGGGGCACGGCCTGCTGGGGGGAGCAGGCTATACCTGGCACTGGTGCCGGCGCTCCTGCAGGCCTTTGGCGGGGTTTCCACAGAGGACCCGGCCGGCACCTGAAGAAGAGGGTGCGGCTGGGCCTAGTTCGGGGCTGAGGGGCTACAGGCAGCTTCACGCCGAGGTGGGTCGCCTACCGTGGGTGAGGCTGCTGGCGTCGTCCTGTGGGGCTGGGCCCTGGGGAAGAAGGCCTGCAGGTAGGGGGCCCCCGGGGACCAGCAGGGAGCGGGGCCAGGGCCTGGGGGCCCTGCGCTGGGTCTCAGGTGAGCATAGCTCGGGGCTGCATCTCCAAACGGGGGATCCGTGGGGAGAACCTGCACAACAGTCAAAATCAGAGGTCATCAAAGCCCACGCCAGCCGGCCACCCAGGATCCCCCCAGCTGAGCCCTGTCCACGGAGCAGGGCCCCCCACCACCCGGCATCCGTGTGCCCGAGGCCCAGCGCCACCAGGGGGCAGGTTTGGCCCTCCTTTCCCCCTGAGGATGGTTGGGGAGGCCCCCACCAGGGCTGCTCACAGGGAGGGTGTCCTGGCCTGGGGGTGGGTGTGCAGGGCTCTGGGGACGGGGCAGGTGGGGGTGGGTGGGTGGGTTCGTGGCTGAGAAGGGACACGAGGCGGCTCTCCGGCTCTGAGAGACCTGTGGGCGGGGCCAGGGGTGGGGGGGTGGAGCCCTCTCCTGGGGCAGCCCCAGCCCGAGGCCCCTGGACGGCTTCCGTCTGTACCCAGCCCGGGGAGCAGGCTGTCCAGGACGCTGCCCTCCTTGATGGCCTCCTTCACCACGAGCCGGTCGTGGTCCAGCTTCCGGGAGGTCGTCAGGCGTGTGTGTGTGGCCGGCAGCTCATCCAAGACCTGCAGCTGGGGGACGAGCTTCCTGACCTCTGCCCGGTAGTTGTAGCCCTGGGGCACCTGCGGTGGGGGTGGCAGGCCTGAGTCTGGTGGGCCCGTCAGGCCAGCATTGCCCTGTAGCCGCTGCCCCCAGACCTGCTGGGGGGCAGTGCAGGGGAGCTGGGGGTCGGGGATGCCATCTCTCTCTGCCCAGGCGGCCAGGCCAGCCTGGGTCACTCTGGGAGAGCAGGGACTGCAGGGACCCTGGGCTCTTACCCATGCATGATCTCACTCTCTGGGCTCACTGCCAGGGTCCAGGGGTGCCCTCTGGCCTGCGGAGCTGCCCTGAACCCAGAGCACTGGCCCAGTGGGCGGCCGCTGTGCACAGGCACCACGAGTAGCTGGGCAGGCGTGTGAGCTCTGGGAGTGCGCGGGCAGTGCGGGGGTGTGTGCAGCCGCGGGCGGTGTGCACAGACCCCGGTTTACGCGCAGCGCTGCAGCGGGTGGGGCTGCCTCTGCACGGGGCCTGCATGGGTGTGTGTGTGTGAGCGTGTGTGCTCGTGTACATGACTCTGTGGAGACTGTACAGAACACGCGTGGTTCCCCATGGCGTGTGCACAGACCTCTTGGGGTGTACGCGTGGCCCTTCGGAGTCTGGTCCCGGCCTAGGAGGACGAGCTGGCAGCCGCCGGGCCTCCAGCAACATGGGAATGAGCTCCTAGTGAAGAAGCCCCGGCAACAGGCGGGTGTGCCCTAGGCGTGTGTCCTGGGATCCCCTGCGACCCGGCCGGAGTTCAGGTGGACAAAGCAGTGCCCGGGCCGAGAGGCTGGAGCTACAGAGCGCCTCCCCGCCCGGTGCCCACCTGGTGGGCGGGGCCGGGGCCGGGCCACAGGCATAGCGGGTTGCCCTCCAGGGTGAGCGTGGCCAGCCGCGGGCACAGCTGCAGGTAGCGCAGCTGCCCTGGGTCCTGCACACAGTTGCCCTCCAGGTCCAGCACCTCCAGCTGCTCAAGCAGGCACAGCGGGCTCAGGTCCGAGATGTCGTTGTAGGAAAGGTAGAGCTCCTGGGGGGCACGGGGGGGCTCAGTCAGGGCCCCCCTCCCCCCGCACTCCCCGGAGCGCCGCAGACCCACCTTCAGGGCCGGGAAGGAGCCGATGCCATCCAGGTCAGCCAGGCCGCAGCGAGCCAGCCACAGCACCTGCAGGCGGCCCAGGGAGGTGCCCAGGTCCCTGCAGAGGGTAGGGTTGGCTGGTCAGTGCGGTCCTGGGGCGGAGGGTCATGTCTCGGTGGCCGTGAAGGCCCTGTGCCATGCCTCCTGCCCAGCCGCCACCCACATCTGGCTGTCTCCAGGTTCAG